GCTAGCGTTGTTCGAGGAGTTGCTGCGCTCTGACGTGTGGTTATCAAGGAGATTAGACAGTCTTCATTGAGAGCAGCGTGTCCTTCCGACGCGTGAGGCCAGAGGCGCGTGTGCAAGGGTCCGCCTCCGAGCACCGCCTGCGTCTTCTGCCGGTAAGTCGGCGCCTCCGGACGCCGTCCTCCCACGACCAGGGCCTGATTCTCGACGCCTCATGGGTCCCCCCGTTGCAGGTCAGACAGCCGCACCGATGGTTTCCTGGGCACTCAACACCGTCCTGGTGGCGCTGGTCGCTGCCAGCGCGCTCGTGGCGCCCGCGGCCGCAGGCTCAGGACGGCGCTGCGGCAAGATTCTGCTCGAGTTCATGGAGTTCGTCTGCGAGGGAGAGTTCTACGATCCGTACGAAAACACCGGGCCCAAGCGGTCCCTGATCGGTGAGTCAGCCGATGTGTAGTGTTGTTTCTGCTCGGCCGCTGAACGGTGCCGTCAATGCTGCCGTCCGAGTGCCGGCAGACTTGCTAGTCTTTGTGAAAATGTGCAGGACGACGTGCCGGAAGCAGCTGGAGCCATTGCATTAGGTATATTCTGAAGAGAACCGACACTTCAGCCATCTCGTTGCTTCGACTCATTTTTGCGAACAATCTGAAGCCTCGTTTGATATGGCGGAAACTCTTTTTCCTCCGCCAGGTATGATAAATGGACCCGTCGCAAAGCCAAATAATATTGCTTGAGCTTGATGACTCGTTGTCTAAAGCTCAGGAACAAGGCCCGTTCACACACTTGTGTCTGACTACAATCAATTAAGACAAGGATGGTTTTTAATCCTTTTTCGGATGGCTTATCAACGACTCCGAAGCAGTGCATCCGGTCGTAAGCCGTCGTAAGAGGCTTAAAAACCTGTCTTCTCTTAGTTGATCATAGTCTGTCACAAGTGTGTGAACGGGCCTTAATTCTCAAGTCTTAAAGGGGTACTCCGCCGATTTTTGAGCTACCTCAACTAACTATATTTTCTGACTCCCCGGCCTTTGCCCTTTCTGGTATGCTATTTAGTATCGTGAAATTCATAATAGTTATTGCGAAATCGGCAAATGAAAATGATGCAAAAACAAACATTCAAATATACCCGCCCTTTTCAGGGCCGTGACGTCACTGGAAGTTTAGCTTGCCAGTCGGGCGAGCAGTCTAAAAAATAGAATATGCCAATCATTTGTTCCGTGCTGGAGCGCGGGGACTGGAGCGAGCTTCCAAAGCATTCATTTGACACCATGAAACTGCTTCGAATTAGTTGGGAACAAATTCTACAGTCCAAAGAGTTAACCCCTGCACTTCCAATGACGCACTTTTTCATTGTAGCCAGTAGAGACTTTCAGTTTGAAAAACACGGTGAGGACTAAAATTGTAAATTCAATAACTTCGTGAAAAAAAATTATTTTGACCTAATATTTGGGATACTATTTTGGCGATGTTGTCTGGCGAGTTTAGCAAAATTTCAAGCAAATCGGGGACCATGAAGAAATCGGCGGAGTACCCCTTTAACTGTTTCCCATTGAACCCGATCTGAACTGGGTAAGAAAAGGGCGGCGCCTGCAAGACGATTCGTGGAATGAAGTGTGAATACTTTAACATCTTTAGGTGAAAACAGCGCAACTGGATAATGACGAAAAACAAGAACAGGTCTTCGTCCTAGTCCAATGGCGCTGCTTTTACATAAAGATGTCCAATATCGACCTAGCCCAAACATACCTCTTAGAATAGTCCCGAGCGTAGGTTAGGTGGTGGCTAAGTCTGTTCGTCTTGCTTTCACCGAAGAGGTACAAAAGTGCATTTTGTCTTTCTGAACGCTATGGGGTTCCTGTCACTAACACAGGCTCTATGAATATTTGTCGTCGCCCCTTTTGTGCGAGTTTGATATCATGAGTCACGTGACTGTTCTTACGCGAAGCCCCTAAAAAGGCGACTAAAAGCGGAAAGGAGTAAAAGGTGGCTGTTGCCACGAACCAAAATATGTCCCGCAGCCAAACAGTGAAGTACACAACATAGCTCCTCGCAGTATACTTTGCTACACAGATGCTGCGTAAGAAAACAAGGCGGCCGAAATTGTATTGAACTTTTCTCACCAATTGACACCGTGTTCCGCAGGTCAGCGACTGTTTCCTCTGGTGTCCCCTGGCATCGAGAACACCGACAAGGCTCCTGCATCAGGCTTTCTACGGGCGGAGTCGGCCAGCCAGCTACTTCGGAAACGCAACTTTCAAGGCGGAATAGTGTTCGAGTGTTGCTACAAGGCGTGCAGTATCATGGAGGCCCAGAGCTACTGCCCATCATAAAGGCCTACGATCGAGCGACTGACAACGGACACTACATAAATTGATGACAAAGGGGAAAGGCCACGAGTGTCGAATGTCACTTTCGGAACCATAAATTTTTGACACTTGTATCGTGGGACATGTCAGCTGTCAAATTGCTTCGTTTTGCCCATGTCGGCAGGCGGACGCGGAGTTCCGAGGGTGTTGCCATTACGGTGCCTGAAAAGCGTCTTCGACTGGGGTGTTTAGTGTCCCGTACCGCCCTTGCACCGAGAGAGGTGCCGACCGGATGTGGCGACAAACAACGTCGGGAGCCTGCGTGTCATGTCGCGATCTTGGCGGTTGGTTGTAGAAGTTCCGGCAAAATGTACTAGCAAAATAGAGTGGCGCTGTCTTCGAGGCGTGCGAACCCCTCGCTGTTGAAGCACCCAGTCAAGGCTGTCAAGCTGCAGAGCGAGCTGCGGCAGAGCAGCTCTTCCGTGTCCACTTCCGCTGCTGTGGAACCGCCAGGAACGCGGCGGGGCGTAATTAGAGGGATCGCATTTGAGGACGCGGTCAACACACCAATCGGATACGCTTTCCAGTCGCCCCATAGCAGCCACTCTACATTCGAGTTAGTAGTGGAGTGTGGGCCCTCTCGCTTTTGGATAAAAAAACCAGAGTAGGCTTCGAGAAGGAATAGGTGGGGTGACTATGTGCCGATGGACATTTCTAAATGGACACGAGTGTGATTTCAGAAGAAAAGCTAACGCGTTATTACAGATGAAAACTCTCACAACCGGCAACCCATGAAGCATTTTAAGAGACACAGTAAACGGAGATACGAAGCACTAAATATAAGCCCGCTTCGCGTTTGTTCGGACTTCGTAAACGCTCCAGGCCATATCTTCACAGTTATTGTTTAAATATGTGAGTAAATATATAAAACAACACAAAACGCCGAGGACGCCCGGTGTTGTTCTTTCAATCTTTCTAATCTTTCAAAATACATATTCAGTGGTACGTTACCGGTATGCGCGCCGCCAAAGTATTCTAATATGTCCCTGAAAACAGCGTGCGCACATCCCTTCCTGGAATCACTGCTTGTAATGAACTATGTATCCAGGAAAATACAAACCGTATATATTCTTTAAAAAATACTCGGAGAAAAAAAAAAAAAAAGGGAGCGCTTTACCGTACGAGCTACAGGGCAGAGTCAGTGTGATTTCTCACTTCAGGCTCACACTCATACTTTCGCTGTGCTTCTATCAGAGCTAAAATGGAGTTTAGCTTCACCCACCGTTGTAGCACCCATCATGGTCGAATCTTCCGGCCAGTAGTGCACCATGACAGAAAAGTCGTAAACTGGTAAGCAAGCGTCTTGTCTCACTGTCAGTACTCCACTTTGGTTAAACAAGGAGAGAGAACACGGAGGGAAGGAAGGAAAAAGAAAACGCGTCTTCTGTGAAGGTGCGAGCTGGGGATGTGTTTTCCCATCAACTCTTCTGCCATCTCGCAGGTTATGAGTGCCACAACTTTTTCCTTTAGCAGACAGCCTATGTCCACTTTAGCTAAGGTGGATATAGGTGGGAGGAGCTTACCCTAACTTCTAAATTTGTTACAGACTATAGCAAATTTACCTTCAACAACCACATAGCCAACTCTTTTTTTTTTTTGTAAAATAATGTTTTTTTTTTATATTCAGCATAGTGCGAGTTTGAGGAAACTTAAGCGGTACAGTTATTCGCAGCAAATGCCTTTTGAAAGCTTTAGACACTAGTATAAGGAAGGAATTGTGTTATGGCAAAGAACTTTGCTATGTAGCTCCTTCAAAGACTATGCGGAGAGCAAGTCGTCTGCTTCTTCCCAGGGGTTGCGAGGATGCAGCATCGCCGAGCTCTTATTGGTTGATTGAAAAAAAAATATAGTGGGTAGACCTCAAGGCATCTAGCATTGAGGCATACCCACTATCCTTTCAATCAAAGCCAATCAGAGCCCGGCGTCGTTCTGACGTCAGCACAACTCCGGCGAAAGAGGCAGACGACTTGCTTTCCGCTTAGTCGTACCCGTGTTACTCTTACCGGCTGCGCAGCAACGCTGCCGGTCGTAAGCAGTCGCAAGAAGCTTAAAAACCGGTCTTGCATGTATTAATCGGTCGTACACTTGCCACATGTTAAGAGTAACGTTCACACTCTTGCAACCGAGTACGACTGAGAGAGACAATACCGGTTTTTAAAACTCTGGCGACGTCTTACTACCGGATGCGCTGCTGCTGAGCTGGTCCTATTACGTCGCCAGAGGGTGAAAAGCCGGTTTTGTCTCTCTCAGTCGTACTCGGTCGCAAGAGTGTGAACGGCGCTTGGGGACCAGAGTCCAAATCCGGTTATTAAGCTTTTCCTGGCGGTCTACGACCGGCACCGCAGCAGCAGCGCCGCCGGTCGTCAGCGGTCGCAATAGGCCTAAAAACCGGCGTTGTCTAAGTCGTTGTCAAATGCAAGTGTGTCAAGGCCCGTTTACACACTTGCGACAAACTACGACCCACTCACACGAGACCGGCTTTTAAGCCCCTTGTGACGGCTTACGACCGGATGCGCCGCTGCGGAGCCGGTCGCAAGCCGCCACAAGGGTATGAAAAAGCGGTCTTGCCTCAGTCGGTCGTAGTTGGTCGCAAGTGTGTGAACGGACCTTTAAAACCGCGTTTGTCGGCGTCTGTTTCAGATGAACGCTGCTGTTTTGCTGCTGCTGTGCGCCACCGCACTGCTCAGCAGTCATCGGGGGGCGTCGGCTCGCTCAAGCGTGGAGAAGAGGAACAACCGCTACTGCGGCAGCAACCTGAACCGCGTGCTCGACTTCCTCTGTGAAGAGTACTACGATCCGACCCAGAAGCGGCACACGGGCTACAGACCGGCCCACGACCTGCCGGCCGCACGTAAGTTTTTTTGTTTTACATGTATATTTAGTCTTCCGCCTCGCTGAAAGCCCCTCACTTTAGGTCTGTTGTACACGAGTAAAACAAAAACCAATTTTAAAGTTGTTTCGATCATTGTGACAAGCAAAAGCAGGTAGGCACGCGAGCTGAAGCGAGGGGATAAATAGAAGACGGACAGACACGAAACTTCGGAGCCTCGTGTCTGTCCACCCCTTTTTTGTCTCCTCGCTCCAGGGTTGCCAGGTCTGCCCTGACAACCTCGGAGAGGACAAAAAGTTCGCGCATTCGTCGTGCGTGCGTTATTATGTGTCACGCTTGATTACGGAAGGTTTTCGATGGTTTCGGATGCGTTGCACGCGCAGTACACTCGTGTACTCTCCGCGATTAGTAAAATGATCAGACACGAGTTAAAATGGATCAGTGACGTCTTAAGATACTACCGAGAGCTACGCTTCGCCTTTTGGAAGCCACCTGGGCGCACCGGCAGTCCCCTACTGCCGTAGACTGCCTTGAGCCTGTACTTAGACCAGACCCCGAAACTCGACCAGGTAAATTTTCGTGGTTTATCCGTATTAGCTCTAACAAGTTTGCGTGGCGCCCCTTACAGCGAACCGTGGTGACGTCACGGCGAGGAAATAAATTTTTCCCTGACTCGCGGCGCTCGCCTTCTGGAGGCTGGGACGACGTTAGCTGTCGGCACGCTCGTTTCTAATTACTATTATTATTATTTTTTTTTTTTTTGTGAGCGTTTCCCGTGGGAAGTGGGAATTTTCATAGGTGGTTTTATTGAGATATGGCGTGTAGCTAAAGGCAACATTTCAACGAACAATTCAGGTAAGGTTGACAGGGCAGGCGGCGCATGAAACACGGCTGCTATATGAAAAAGGAAGAAATCAGGTAACACTTGCAGGAACATTACGATAGATTCATATCTCACACAATCAATGCTGCTGATGGTCTATACTACTTCGTTTTTTTGTTTTGTTTTTTATTTGTATTTCTGGTTCTAAACAAAAGCGCCGAAGTCGAAAAGCTGCATGCTGCTCAAGCAACATGTTAAATATAGTCTGGGCCGTGGAGAGAAAATCACAGGTGAGAACACCCATGTCCAGGGTACAGGTGCAAAATAAAGAAATAAGGAACAGAGGAATATACAAGTTATTCATTTATACCTGTTTATATTGCTCGCCTTTGACCTTTGATGGATTCGGGTAGTATTTCAATGTACTCCACTCGACGAAGAAAGGGTAAAAGCACTGGCGAGCTGCTGAAGAACTTCCATCGTAAACCGGAGACTTGTTGTTCTGTCCGTTTTTTTTTTCTTTTTTTGCCGCGTTTTTGTTTTACAATGGAAGCACTCCACTCAGCTGGTGGTATCTCTGGACTTACTTATAATGTCCCTCAAGTAATATATAACAAACGTGAGTGCAGATGTCTAGCCCGTTATTATTCCATTCTTGACAATTTACGGCTTACAGGCTCTAAAATTAATATTTTAGTTAAAGGGACGATGAAGACGATTTTATTTAATTTTTTAAATGGTGTTCTTATGCTTCTTAGGAACATAGCATGCTGCCTATTTTTTGTAGACATTTGTGACGCGTATTTCTGTGTTTACGAAAGAAGTAAAGAAATCGAAACTGAAGATCTCCACTCTCGCTTCTGGGCGTCCGAAAACGGAGGTGACGTAGGGAGTGACGTCAAGTGTGAATAGTCGGTATCGGTAGTATTTAGGAGATCGAGACTCTGGTTACCGCGGTGGATTATAGCAGCGCGCTGGCGCTGTGGCGCAGTCGTTTCGTCGAATCTGTCAACATGGACGGCAATGCCGCTCTCGCGAGCGAGTTTGAGCTTCCGTTCAGTGACCCAACACAATCGTGGTTATTCAAGCGGAAATTAGAACAGAATCGCGAACCAAAATGTGACTGAGGGCACGTCTGTCGTTTCGACCGATCGCTGACGCGTCTCTTGTGACGTCGCGCTTCTTGGCCCGGATCGGTCACGTGAGCTCCGCTTCTCCTGGCTTCTCCCGCAACTCTCGGGGCGTCGCCCCAGTCGATCCCGGCACGATTATTACTGCGACTGTTTAATTGATTTGCGCGGCACACAAGCTCTGGTTTCGGCTGAAATTCGGGTAACGTGGCCCGAGACGTGCCTGGAACCCAGTTCAAACGCCAAAAAGATGTCCGAAATCGCCTACATTGTCCCTTTAAAGGGCAACTCCGCTACATTTTTTTATATTTAGAAAACTATGTAGCCCTCTTCAGTATCATATAGGAAGACCCCATGTCAAATATTACGATCTAATTCCGTTTATATATGTAATAAACTGGCCAGCAAACCTTCAAGCGAGCCAAGTCGCCGAAATCTGCCAGCTCTAGCGTGCGGCGCGAGGCGCAATCGTCAGCGCAGTCAATAGGGAGTTTTCGTAGATCGTTTTCGTCGTCCCGCAAGGCCCTCCGCAACCCGCTACGATAGCGGGAACTCCACAGTCAAGGCTATCGGCGCGCAGGCGCAGTAGCAACTTCTTCGTTGCGGAACGCTTAGCGGAGAGGGCAACGCGGTCTACGAAAACTCCCTAATGCCACGGAGTTGGAGCAGCCGACATTGAGCCACTACGTCAGAGGCATGACTACGTCATTCTCACGTTTTGTTTGTTTTTACTTCTCTGAGCGAAATTGAACGATGACGTCATGAGTTTCTCCTCCCGGTGTTGGCTCAACGGCGTCCACGTGATCACCGTAACGCGGATGCGCTAGTTTGCGCTGCCCTGGGCGCTTATCGGTCTGCTTCTCCGCTCACCTTCTCCTCTTTTGTCTCTTCCCTTCCCCTTCTCCCCCGGGCCATCACCGTCCACGCCATGCGAAGCGACCTGCTCGCGCGTCGTGTGTCCTGTTTCTCGCTCCCTCCCGATCGTCACAAGACCACGTGGTTCGACGTGACGTGCCATGACACTGACGACCCGAGACCAATGTTGCCTGACGCAACCGAAGTTTCGGTTTCGGTATCAGCTGATGTTTAAATCAGGATTACACAAATAATATTCCACATTTCGCGAATCCGAAGACGTAGAGTTGTTTAGTAGTGCTTTGTGAATTTGAATCACATGTAAGCCTGAATTTTTCGGAATTGAGCGGAGTTGTCCTTTAAATAAAATTGTCCAGAAGCTTTTCTCAATCACACTGCCACCCTCCACAGGTTCCCGATTTTCTGCAACCAGTGCAGCATCTTCTAACTGGGCAGCCGTTCCAATACTCGCTGTTCCTCCTGCAGGGAGGGAACCGCTGTGCAAATTGCGCCATTGTGTGCCTAATGACTTTTAATGCGGCACGCTGATACAAAAATATAAATAACGAAATTGCGCCAAGGTGCACCCAAACTGAAATTATAAACGAGCCCCGTCAAAATGAGCCGTCTCGCATTTTCTGTTGCCAACATTGACATTGGAACTTCCGGCACAAAGGGAACGCCGTTGGATCCGAATCCGATGCTCTGTATCCGAAGGCCGCTGGCATGGTTATACTTCGTTTCAGCTTACAGTTGTTACGGCATCACCAGCGGCTTACCAACTTGTCTTTGATTGGGGGGGGGTGGGGGGGGGGGGGCAAACCACACCCTCCCCCCCTCTTCCGCGTCGGGGGGTGGTGCCCGTGGTATCTCTTGGGCGCCGACGGACAGTGTTTGCCCTGCCCAGTGCGACTGTTTCGGGGGGGAGGGGGGGAGCAAAACACATGAATGCCCCCCCCCCCCCCCCCGCTCTGAGAACTGGGGGGAGGGGGGGCGGAGTCCTCCTCCTGACGTCACGGTATACACCTCACCCAGTCTGGGCGTGGCGACCGCAGCTACGCTTGTGTTCGCCTCTCGGGGCTAATACTACACCAAAAACACTGAACCGTTACTCATCTGTTTTCTGTCTACGCAGTACCCGTCTGGTTCCCCGTGCTCGACGCCAACGGAGACTCCAAACTGGGCTTCATGGAGGCCAAGGCGGCCCTGCAGCTGCTGCGACCTTCCGTTCACTACGGCCGCCATACCCGGGGAATCGTCGAGGAATGCTGCCACAAGAGCTGCTCGACCCTGGAGCTTCTCGCGTACTGCAAGACTCCCCGGAACAACGCCGACCTGCAGGTCTCCTCCGACGACAACACAGCCTAAGGGATGTCTTCGAGACACTCTTCTTCCACGGGTGGTGTCCGGCGGTCAGCGAGAGCTACGAGATTTGTAATCTGAGACTGAGGAATACGACAAATGTCTCAGGAGTAAGGCAAAAACGCCAACTGTAACGTCCAGAGAACGTACCAGTTTTATGACGTGTCGCGTGAAATTTCCCACGGCCATCTAAAGGTCCTCTGTTGTACAAGTCAAACTGATAATTCTCACAAAGACTTCGTTTCACCATAAACCCGCGAGCAATTAAAGTTTGTATAAAAATACGGACACACATATTAAAAGTGTGAGGTCATGCGTATTCACTGCTCTTTATTGAATTAGCGGGTGCAGTAGACACACAGAAACATGACAAACGCCGTGACGTTTGCGTTTTTAAGGCTGCTTAACTGACTCAATCGGCTCGTCGCGTTCACTGCGCTCGAACTTTAAATAGAATGAAGCATCGGAAGGGGCATAGGACTTTCCATGGAACGAGCGTAAAGTGCCAGGACTTGCACATAGATTAAGAAATTTCGTGGACGTTTTTGCTTTAATTTGTTTTGTCAGGACACAACACCGAATTGCCGTTCTTCCCCGATTTTAATTTACCAAGCATGTATTGATACCACTGACCTGCCTATTGTGAATTTTTACATCAGACGTCTCTTCTTTTACGTTGCGTGAATGAGGAACGCGTTTTTTTACTGTGAAAATATATATTCTGCTTTATCAATTCAAGCCTGCGTGGTGGCAAGACGTGGAGACTACATGAGTTCGATGATCGAGTTGCCCGTGCGCTTGTTGTTATCGATCTGAACGGGAATGTTCAGATCGGAAACTCCAAAAACTGTTCATTTGACCATCCGCTCTCTCTATGATTGTGTCTTGGCAGAGCCTCAAAAGTATTTCAGGATTTCTGGTCAGTGGCGTGACTAAGGGGGAGTGGGAAAGGGGGGGGGGGGGAGGGGCAGTTGTCGCGGCGGGCCACCGCCCCAGGTGCCACTGGCTTTAGTGACACCATGTACTGCCTCTGGTACAGTTTAGCTGGTTTTGATTATCAGGTGAGCTATACTGCCGGTGACGAAAACAATCATTGGAGAAGGGGGACGAAGGTCAACCACAAATTTCCGAATACAGCTAGGTGACTGGTGCGTGAACTGTTTGGAGATTTGTGTTTGTCCTTTGTTCCCCTTCTCCAGGGATTATTTTCGTCATTCTTGTCGAGCTCGCCTGCGCCTTTGCATTTAATTGCATTATAATCACGAGCTATACTCCGAATGTTTTATTCACGATTGATGATAAACACAATCGCCCACCGTAACTGCCGTCCACTTGATAATTTCGTTGAAGTTCTAAGATGTTTAGCTGATCTAATGTTCGTAAGCCTCTAGATAGAAAACATATGTCTGACTTTTATTGCGTATTTGAATCTCAGCATGTACCAAAAAAAATGACGTGGACGTTGATTGTGAATGAATGAAGTACAAATACCGACTGACGACGAGAACGCTGTTCGTGAAGCACAAAGTATTTGAAAGAGTGCCACAGCCGAGGTGCCACCGTATACGTATGCCTTTGTTTTTATCCAGCTTTTAACATCGCGTTGAACAGTACGTGCTCGCCGTTTTCTAGAACTTGCCGACATAGCTGATATTCTTCTATTACATTTTGTTGAGTCATTCCGTTGACGTGGTCCTCTCCCTCTGTATCGACCGTGTCTCTGAAAATAAAGAGTGAGAAGCTTGAAACATTGTATTCTAAACGTTCCAGTGACTTGGAGGGGGGAAAGGTGGGAGGGGTAAAAAATGTTGGTTAATACCATCCAGGAGAAAAGGTGCTTGTATTGCGCCATTGTAAATGAATTCTCGACCTTCTGGTAAGTCTACCTGGACATTGTGGAGAAGAAAAGAACATATTCAACAAAATTCGGTCTTTCCACCGTGAACTGCAGCTCATGTGCTGCTGATATATAATCAACGTTCCTAGGCTGTTTGATAAATCTTTGCGAAAGAGCAAATAATTATGTCATCAACATATCTTTAAGCAATACGTGTATATGACGACTCTTGCAACCTATTAGACACACATGCAGTGCTTAAAGGGGCCCTGCAATCATATTTAAGCGTCTACCTTTTTTTGCGGTTTTTGGTCTCTTGAAGTTCGGGCAAGCCAGCGGGCACGGAGAGAGTAACTAAATATCAGTGCGTCATATTTTAACCGGACGACGCGGAAACCTCCTCCACCGACGAGGGCGACCCGCGTTACCGAAAGCGCGCAAAATGTGACGTCTTTGGTCCTGGGCTTACTACTGGTCAGAGCCGCTAAAAGCTTCTTCTTAGTCGAAATACAAAATATAAGTGTCGCGAACCGTTTCAATTACTTATAAAAGTAGTTTTTGTTCACTATTTTAGATGAAAAAAGAAACAAATGCAGTTTATAAAGTACGGAAGCAAGAAATGATCCGTCGACATACCCGCCACCAAGCGGTGGAAAAGGCGGCGCATACTAGAAAGAAGTAGTGGGATCAGGCGCCGACACAGAAAGGTCCCGGATGTACGCGGCAGCGCTGCGGTCGTATGGGCAGGAGGATCCGACCGGCTCCAAGCCTTCTGAAAACCGTCGGCGAGATGCTTTGTCTTGCGGTTTGGTCGTTTCGCAGTATGGCAGCGCGAAGTGGCTCCCACTCTGAACTGATCTTTACCCAGTGTTTGCTGTCGTTTGTGGCCAATGAAGTGTCATGCCGAATTAGTGTTTAACCACGCAGCAAAGGCAATAAGAGCCGCTTTGGCTGCCCGCTGCACGCAGCCTGTCCAGAACATGCTTTAGTGGCGCCCTCTCGCGCCGTCGACACGGAATGCGGCAGCTGTGAGCGCTCGCGATGAGCTCACTACCCCTCCCTAGTTCACGGCCGCTCAAGCACCCAAGGACGTCATGAGGGAGGTTATTTTTTGCTTGTTTTTGTAATTTTGATTTGCCTATAACTTTTAAAATAAAGCGAATTTCAAGAAAATAAAAGTTACACTAAGTTACTACGTTCAGTGCGCTCAGGCTTGGTGCAAATTAAAAATTAGTAAAAAAGTGCTTGCCCTTTAAAGTATCCCACCGGTGGCAGATTATCTCTGGTGCGGTCGTCTTGGGGGAGGCAGTTGGGGGATATTGTTTTTTAAACAGCTTGCTTTGAAATGAATAATGTGCACATGCATCCAAACACTAACACGGCGTTTGTTTATGGCAGCCGAGCGCTGCGTCACAAACAAGCCCAAATAATTCATATGGTACCCATGGGTTTAGTTCTCATTTTCGCTGTCAGTGGCGCGACGGTTCAATCTACTCCCCAAATGGAACGCAGACCTCCTGTCGAAATCCGTCGGGGGTCTCAGATCCCCCGAGACCCCCCTGACTCTAGCCAATGCTGGCCAACACGATTCAAGGAGTTTAGGTGAAGTTCAGCTAACGCTGACGCTACAGACAACCCAACTCTTTAAAAAAATTAATCTTTTTCCTTCATACTCTACAACCTTCGACTGGAGGTTATAATTAGAAATAGAAAGAAAACTATCTACGGAAACGTCTGATTGTGAACCAAATTCAGCTCCAGTACCTCTTTCACCCTATTCAGTAGACGGCTCTTCCAGTGAGTAATAAAATCCTAAAAGCGTCCATCAAAAAAAATAAAAAAATGGTACACTCCCTTTTATGATGATCCTTGAGTAGTTCAGTCAACTCGTTTGAATCCCTTAGTGACAGCGATTGATTTAGATGAACATGTCCTAAACCTTTCCGACGAAACGCGGAAACAACTTCCTGCCATGTTGCAGTTTCATCAAAAACCACCCGAAGTGTCATTTTTGGTTTATGATATTTTAGGAAAAACTCTAAATTCAACACCGGCCTTGAGGATTCCCACATTTTATTTTTTTTTTTTTTTTTTTTTGCTTGACATTTGAAGTCGTCTTCTTGAAGGATTGCATTTATACTCTTCCTTATTTTCCCTACGCTACTGCCCATTCATGATTGAAACGAAGAGTTTATGTTTGTCTTTGCTTTCGTCTGAAAGTATGACTCAAGAATAATAGCCAATCTCCCGAGCTTATCTGTTTGTAACAATTGTAATGGCCTAGTTTTTTAGCTCATTTCTGACTGCATTAACCTCGTGGAAATCTATACTCTCACTCGGGTACGCATTGCCCACAACGTTTTTCCTTTTACCGACAGCAAGATCTACAAACACTGCTTTCTCATTAAGACTGACCATCCTCGCAACTGTCTGTATAGATGATAAAACACCCAACCTTGGTGGTTTTACAGTTTCGCAATGCGTAGGTCTCTTTTCCAACGCTTGTTGCGTCTTTTCAGTTAAAGGTTCACCACTCACCCATGTGCACTTTGGCCCATGTGGTGAACACTGGATCCCGAGACGATTGTAACATATAATCACAAAACGTGAATTTCTACCTCCTTCCTTTTGAGACTTCCCCTTAATACTATTCACAGCATGCCTTCGTTTGGCATACCAAACTCTGTTGAAGTGATGTTGCTCCATTGATTGTAATCCTTGTTACGTTTGAAATCGCATCCCAGGAGGGGGACCAACACTTTGTCACATGCGCCGCGGATTTCTTGAATCCGGCGACTTGAGGCAAATTACTGTGCTTTAAGGTTCTTCTTGATGTTCCATAACATTTCAGATGTTGAAATATGCTTGAGAGGCTCTCTCTAGCTCCCATCCCCCCCCCCCCCCCCAGCCCAACCCACACACACCCACCCACACCTCCGACAGCCGTGGTTGGGAAAGACCCCTAGCTGTGGTCGCGTTGTGCGGACACGATTTCTTGCCTCCCCACTGACGCCGCCAAGGTTCCGTTCTCGTGTGTCTGCTGCACTACAGAACAGCTCCCGTACGTATACTCTCGCTACTTCCACCGAAGACGCAGTCGCGGGCGCCATCGTTCTCAAAAAGCGTTTCAACAAAAAAAACTTAAAACGAAAACGTCTTTGTATTCTTCAACCCATGCAACATCTCGCACAATCGTTCCACCAAAGCAAACATCTTAAGCACGTCTCCTACGTCGATTTCACTGAAAGCAAAGAACCCACTTGAAACATTGTACAGCTTACTGGTTGAAAATCAATCTCCGTCAACCTGCCTTTCAACAACGCAGCAGCTACGGCTGTTAATCGCAGCACACTTTGTCTGATCGTTTGCATTTCTTTTTTTTTCTTTTTTTTTGTTGCAGGAACGGCGTTGCAACCGGAAATCGCAACCAGAGATAGCTCCATTTGAAACGGGCTGTACTTTAAAAAATATGATTAACAAAAATATCTGGAACATTGTGCAGTTTTTTATCAACCGTTACAAAGGCGATGCTGATCAGCGTTCTCCACCAGTGGATGACGTATTCGTAAATTTCAGCGATTGTGGTACCGCGGTAGGATGATTGGCTTCACAATAAAAAGCTTGCTTACACCTCCTTCATAATGCCGCGCGCGGGGCCGATCATGCAGCGCTCGGTCACGGAAGTCTAGAAGATTCGCGTTTACTCCTACTCGAAAGGTAACTTCTATCATTTCATCCTAGTTCCTTGGTCTCGAAAGTGCCTGTTCATTCTCACCCCCAACGCTCGAAGTTCGAACCTTCTGGGCCGAATTTTCGCGATGCCGATGCTCACTAGATAAGGAGCTGCGCGCGACCTTGTCGGGTCAGTCTCACTCTCGCTTGCTGTTACTCCGTCAAATCGCCTCCCGCTTTTCTGCTGCCTCGACGCTCATTCTTTATTTTGCTTGGCACAAGTTCGTCGATTAAAGCTTTCAGTTGACTCTTCATCCTCTCATCAGCTTCATTCCTGACACGAAGGAAGCGCTTTCATATCGCTCGTGTAGGACAAAATTACAAATTCTCACGCGTCGTAAACCCGACCTTGTACTGAATGTGTTCAACGACGATCATCCAGATGACAGCGATCCAGACAGGCGCCAGAGTGTGCTGCCATTTCGAGTGATGCTGCTGCATCTTAACGATTTCGCCATGTTCGGGTGTGCTGGGGGCAGATCACCGGGGTGCGTGAATGTGGACCCACGACCAACCCCACACCTACGACCACTCCATCTGAGCGCTCCCTATAGAAGAGCCTGCTCCCGGCTGAGGGCCGAGTTTTAGCGCCGCCTAGTCAGAGGCGTTCTGACTGGGCGGCACAGAAACTCGGTCCTTCTACCTCGTCGGGTTCTTCTGTTATCCGTGGGTGCGTGCCAGCTGATCGCGCTTTCTGGTTTCAAGCGGGTTCAAGCTGTAAAATGTTTTTATCTGTGTAAAGGATACTGAAGAACTCCAATTCGCTAATTAGTTTGCTTTTTTTTTAGTTTGCGCAGCCAACACCAGATGATATTGGCTGCGCCCGCGCGCCGACAACGCCATAGGGGCCAACACAACCTGGTGCAGCGCACGCAGAAAAGACGAAAAAAAAAATCCGAGTTCCAGGCCCCGCCACCAGGCGCCGCTAAAACTCGGCCCTCCGGGAGTGGCTAGAGAATGTGCAGAGGGAGTGGTCGTAAGTATAGAGTAGGTCGAGTGTACAGCAACCAAAAAATGCAGTATCCATGACGAGGTCTATGACGTGTGGACATGTGAAAAAGAAAGACGTTGGCGCGGCAGTGGATTGCATGGGTTGCTCGGATAAAGGTGTGTTATTTCTGTGCAGCTGAACTTGTACTTCTTGTGGGTAAGCAGTACGCACTGATCGCAAAAGACTTCAG